ACAAATAAATCTCTAGCAGTATCATTTTAAAATTTCACTCATTAAAATCCAAGAATATAATAATAGGGTTGAAAATAATAGAAAAAAAAATAATCTCGTTATTTCGAGAATGTGTTATTGGATAGTGTTTCGCGTGGATTAAAATTAACGCTTTTAACCCTGAACAAATAATTTTCGATAAAACACAAACGTTCACACAAACAGACAGACATATATGTATTTACATAGGTGTAAACTATACGTAGAAATTAACGAGAACGAGAAACGAGTATATATTTCTTTTGCAATGTTGCGATTATCACTGAAGAGAAACTCAACAAATTCTTAAATCCCGGTTGCTGCTTCTGGTTACTGATTGATACTGAAACTGCTGCTGCTGTTGCTGCTGCTGCTGCTACCATAACGCATGTCCCACTTCTCTTGGTACGTTCAATTGGGTTTTCTTTTTTTAATTTTTTTTTTCGTATATACCACTCGTAAAAATAAGGAACAACGAAAATAATCCCACCCTCTATCTCTAAATATGTGTGTGTGTGTGTTAGAAAGATAGGACGATATCCATGACGGTACTCGAATTGTCCAACTCTTGTTACCAATGAAAAGAACCTCATCGGTAATGGTTAAAACGTGCGAAAGTAAGCACTCTCAACCCAATCGGATTACCCTAACTATTTACTTAGCAAAGTAATAGGCTTACACCAATGCATCAGAGTAAAATGGTCGCGTGTATACCGTCATTCGACTATTCAAAAACGAATTCTACATCTCGAAACGAATCTACTACCTACCTACGAATTCAACCCCTCTTCTACACACTCCTTACCCCCGACCACCCCCGACCTGCCCCCCTAACCCATAAAAAAGAAATACTCTTCGCAAGAACTATCATAATCGGTCGTTCGCTAATAAACACTTGGAATTCGTTAAGTTGAAACATCTGAAACCATTGACACTACTTTATAATGCAGAACGCGTCGGTTATACTCGGTTTTGACCGGCTAATATTATCGTTCAGTACGAATCCAATTGTGTATTGTATGTTCTTTTATATATTCAAGTTATTATATAAATACTTTTTATTTGGATTAATCATCATGGAGTTTTAGTAATTATAAATTATATTTGGATTTTTTTTTCTCTTTATATACATATCCTTGTTGAATTAATATTATTTGTGTCTATGATTGGAATGATTATTATTATTATTATTATTATTGGTTAATATAATATATTGGTTAATATAATAAGTTAATATAATATTAATTATAATATTATAATTAATATTATATTAACTTATTATATTAACCAATATATTATATTAACCAATAATAATAATAATAATAATAATCATTCCAATCATAGACACAAATAATATTAATTCAACAAGGATATGTATATAAAGAGAAAAAAAAATCCAAATATAATTTATAATTACTAAAACTCCATGATGATTAATCCAAATAAAAAGTATTTATATAATAACTTGAATATATAAAAGAACATACAATACACAATTGGATTCGTACTGAACGATAATATTAGCCGGTCAAAACCGAGTATAACCGACGCGTTCTGCATTATAAAGTAGTGTCAATGGTTTCAGATGTTTCAACTTAACGAATTCCAAGTGTTTATTAGCGAACGACCGATTATGATAGTTCTTGCGAAGAGTATTTCTTTTTTATGGGTTAGGGGGGCAGGTCGGGGGTGGTCGGGGGTAAGGAGTGTGTAGAAGAGGGGTTGAATTCGTAGGTAGGTAGTAGATTCGTTTCGAGATGTAGAATTCGTTTTTGAATAGTCGAATGACGGTATACACGCGACCATTTTACTCTGATGCATTGGTGTAAGCCTATTACTTTGCTAAGTAAATAGTTAGGGTAATCCGATTGGGTTGAGAGTGCTTACTTTCGCACGTTTTAACCATTACCGATGAGGTTCTTTTCATTGGTAACAAGAGTTGGACAATTCGAGTACCGTCATGGATATCGTCCTATCTTTCTAACACACACACACACATATTTAGAGATAGAGGGTGGGATTATTTTCGTTGTTCCTTATTTTTACGAGTGGTATATACGAAAAAAAAAATTAAAAAAAGAAAACCCAATTGAACGTACCAAGAGAAGTGGGACATGCGTTATGGTAGCAGCAGCAGCAGCAACAGCAGCAGCAGTTTCAGTATCAATCAGTAACCAGAAGCAGCAACCGGGATTTAAGAATTTGTTGAGTTTCTCTTCAGTGATAATCGCAACATTGCAAAAGAAATATATACTCGTTTCTCGTTCTCGTTAATTTCTACGTATAGTTTACACCTATGTAAATACATATATGTCTGTCTGTTTGTGTGAACGTTTGTGTTTTATCGAAAATTATTTGTTCAGGGTTAAAAGCGTTAATTTTAATCCACGCGAAACACTATCCAATAACACATTCTCGAAATAACGAGATTATTTTTTTTTCTATTATTTTCAACCCTATTATTATATTCTTGGATTTTAATGAGTGAAATTTTAAAATGATACTGCTAGAGATTTATTTGTTTTTTTCTTTTCTTTTTTTAAATTCCAAATATTGATCTTAAGGTTTTATAAGGTTATGAGAAAAGAAAAGAGAACATGTTTAGTGAGACTAGAGTTAGTAAGTACTTTAACGAGAATTTGACAGCATTGATTTTGATTAATTTTGTATTCAGGTAGGAAAACCGGGTTCCATAAATGAATGGTATATGAAAAAGAAATTCACCCCTGAAAATATTAAGTTCCCATGTCACACGCATGCAGTCTGTGAATGATATCGAACAAAAAGAAAAAAAAAAAAGGGATCACTGTGAGGTTGTTTGGTGTTTCTATATTTTTTTCTTTCTTTTTTTTTCTTTCTTTTCTTTTTTGAATTTTTAGAATATTCATAAGATTTAACGAAAGAAAAATGGAATCGTCGTTAAGTTAAATTTGAACAGCACAGATAAAATAATTTGTTACGAGTAGAGGTTCAGATAGAATTGGTGTCGGTTATCTCTAGCATAAACCAGCTAACTATAGTTGAACAAGATATAACTATAGTTGGCCTATTTGCTTATCCATTACGTGATGCCCAAAGGGAATTTCGCAAGACAGGTAAATAACTTAGCTATTCGTGATCGATCGATCTTTTACTATATGCAAACATTCTCGTACAATATTCCTTTTCAAATGATTACATTCTACATTGAAAAAATAATCAATCCTATAACAGATTTATCTTATAAAAGAGTATAATTCAATCCAACAGAATATTTTTGCTTTTACCATCTTATAAATAACTAAGATACTTACTTCTATATCTAGAAATTATGATTGTTGTATCAGTTTCGAAATACAAGTGATCCAATTATTTTCTTTCATTAAATAATAAACATAAAAATTATTTGTAAAATGATACGTGAATATTTTGTGGTTACAATTTTATAAAAATAAATAAAAGGAAGAAAAAAGAGTAACTAGAATATTCCACTAGATTTAGAAATAATTTTCCATAAATGAGAGAAAGCAATGAAATAAAGAAAGAAAACAATAATATCTTAGTTATGAATAAAAAGAAAAGTGAAAAAAAAAAAAAAAATTAGGAAAATGAAAAGGTATAATATATAAGAAATAGTAGGATAAAAGGAAAACTAACAATAGGTTGGGTGGTGATAAAGGTGGAAGAAATATAAGTAAGAAAGAAATAAAGTAAAAGGGAGAATGTTTCTCAGCACGTCTAGGTTCTTGATCCCAACGGTTAGGCGCTCTTAGGGGTACCGATTTAAAGGGGAGAAGATTGGTGTACGAAATTAGGGGAGATTTTTTGAGCTGGGGTTGCGATATAAAAGATTCTTCTTTGGGAACCAGACTCAAGATTCGATCACAGGGGCTTGCTTGCTTGCTTGCTTGCTTTTTATATATTTCGAAGGACCGTTGCTAGTAGAATCTGCCTTTCTCGTACACCGGTCATTTTCTCAAGGTTTCACAAACCTTTTTTAGGGTCTTAACGACTCATCAGCCAGAGAATCCCTTCTCTCAGATTCCTCTGGGAAGAATTCACTCTCTTGTTGCTGATCCTTTTTCCATAAGTTTCATTTTATTTCGATAGTAGAGGATCGTTGTCTGGGGTTACTGTTTTATTTTTTTCTTTTGCTTTTGAATTCTCATGAAAATGTATTTCCTCGAAAGAATTTTATTGAACGTTAACGTAAGTAAATTTTTGTTGATGACAAAAAAAAGAAATTTGATCATTTTTAAACGTTTGTACAAATTCGTTTATTTTATTATTAATTTATAAATCAGGAATAATAATAATATATAATTCAATGATACGTTTTAGAAAATACGATGATAGATTAATATGAACAGATTGACTTTTATATTTGTCATAGATATCGATTTAATACGAATTCAAATGAATTTAACCGATCCTTGTATAATACTGTTGGAAACTCGAGAAAATACTAAAATCTATTCATAAACTTTCACGATTGAGCAACCGCAGCTTAGAGAGAAATGTTTACACGAACGTTATACCAATACGGTATATAATTAACGGTTATTATTATTATTATTATTATTATTATTATTATCCTGATGCATTGCATTACTGTAAGAACAATTAGAATTATTTTTCTTTTGGAGAGATTAGTTTTAAACTTCACGTATTAAATCAAGATCAATTTTATTTCAAACTTAAGAAATTAGATTAATTTATAATTTATATAATAATATATATATAACACCCCGATCTCCCAAAGAAATTTGATAATAAATTAAAAATATTGTTGATTATATATTTGTGTCAAGGTATCGATTAAAAAAAAAAAACAAAACAACAATGAAAAATAAGAAAGAGAAACATTTGAAAACAATTAAAAAAACATGTCACAAATAACATGTAATATATTTTGTGCGAGATATTTTCGTTGACATAAAAAACAAAATTAAAAAAATTATTATTTATTTTCATTATTTAATTTATTGTTTAAATAATTATAGAAACGCGAGAGATCGCCGGGAAAAAGGATGGACCGGCTAAGAAGAAGTTTTCGGGATAGTTTTAGACGACGAAAAGATCCACACGTACCGGAATCAAGTAAACCACACCAATGGCAACACGACGAAAGTGCAGTACGTTCAGCAACCTGCGCTTTTCACGTTAAAGTAAGTATCATTTAATTTATATTTGTTGTTGGGAATTTTTTATTTTGTTTAACAAGATAAACCGAGAGAGTATATACTTGTAATTATAGATACAAAAGGGTTCGTTTTACCTTGAAACTCTTGGAATATTCCTTATCGCCATCTGGCCGTTTCATCGGGAGTTAAAATAAGGGTGACGACACCCAAGTGTGATCGATCTGATACAAATAATTGCCTCCTTCAGATTATTTACTTATTGTTCTTTTAAAACTCGTTTAAACGATCCTCGAGATAATTATAATCTGATAAATGAGATTTATTATCAAATGATCAACCTCCCCCCCCCCCTCTCCTCCTTCACTTTTTCTCTCTCTTTTTTTTTATTTGAAATTTTTTAACATAAGAGATAAAATTTGGTGTTGAATGTTATTGATTAATATGTTTTATATATATTTCTATGTATTTTTTGTTTTCCCTTGTGGTTGCAGTATTTAGGATGCGTTGAGGTTTTCGAGTCGAGAGGAATGCAAGTTTGCGAGGAGGCCTTGAAGGTGCTTAGGGTTAGTATATATAATTTAAATATAATATATTATATGTATAATATTAAATTGTAAAAATTAATTTTTATTTTTGTTTTAAATATAACATTAAATGTTTATTCACATATATTATTTTGATATATTATCAATTAAAATCATTTCAAAACAAATGAAAAATATTATTTATGATTAATTGTAATAATAATAATAATAATGGAATAAAATAATTCATGATAACATTAAATGTTTATTCACATATATTATTTTGATATATTATCAATTCAAATCAGTTCAAAACAAATGAAAAATATTATTTATGATTAATTGTAATAATAATAATAATAATGGAATAAAATAATTCATGATTAGGTAATTATCAATCAATTTTGAATATTAAATTAAAAGTATTCATATTTGTGTGTGTTTAACTCTTTTTTTTTTTTGGGTTTGTATGTTTTTTATAGAATTCCAGAAGAAGGCCGGTCCGTGCAGTCCTCCATGTTTCCGGTGATGGATTACGTGTTGTCGAAGATGAAACAAAAGGATTGATCGTTGATCAAACGATAGAAAAAGTATCGTTTTGTGCTCCGGATAGGAATCACGAAAAGGGTTTCAGTTATATTTGTAGGGATGGTACAACCAGGCGGTGGATGTGTCATGGATTTTTGGCATTAAAAGAGTCGGTACGTCAGAAATCTATATTATCATTTATAATAATAGGATTGAGAGATTTTCGATGGTTTCCTAATTTTCCTTCGGTCGGAATCAACATATTATTTCATGAAATTATCAAACGTATCAAACTTTTTTTCAGAATATATTTATTATATATTTAATGAACGCAAAAAACATATATGATAGACAAAACAGATTTCTGAAATTGAAATCAAATTAATTCGTATGTTAAAAAATCAAAAAATACGCACGTTATACTTCGTTTAGCGTACCAAAACGAATATAACCTCAATAACCTCAAAAATAATTTCAATTTTCCCGCGCATCGTAAATATCGACAACTTCGTGGTGTTGATTTTTCGGTCGCATCTAACCTCACTTTCCAAAACGCGCCGAAAGAATTATAACTTTAAAAATTATTCATTGCGGTATTTTGTATAATTAATCGGATAGAAATATATTTAGATTTAATTTTTTGTCGTGGTATGTTTGTTTTTTTTCTCCACCCCCTGTTTAGTTTAGGTTTGTTTGTTTAAATTGAAAATAATGTTAATATAATCAAGAATTCAAATAAGTGTTCGAAAAATTATAGTAGAATAACGTTTTTTAAAAATTGACTCTACATATAAGATAGTGAAAACTTATGACTGTAATAAAAATGATGTTATATTGACTCATGAACATAACTATCAAGTTGCTGAGGAAGTCTCAAATAGAGACGAAACGTTCAACGGATAAATATAGTGTTCATCTTAATTAAACCCGTCCAAAAAACAACTTCCCTAAGAGTAAACTTAGTAATAATATTGAAAATAATATTTTTGTCGTAGGGTGAAAGATTGAGTCATGCAGTTGGATGTGCGTTTGCTGCGTGCTTGGAGAGAAAGCAACGTAGGGACAAAGAATGTGGTGTAACGATGACGTTCGATTCGAAGACGTCGACCTTTACGAGAAGTGGCAGCTTCAGGCAACCAAGTTTGACCGAAAGATTGCAGGATACGCGGGAACGTCCTGTAGGTCGGTCAATTTCTTCTTCTTATTCTTCTATTTAAAAAACAATTAAAAAACAAAAGTACCTTGAAAATTATTCATTGATCGATTAAAAATGAGATTTATAAGAATAATATTTAATTTTGTCCAATTGAAAAATATATATAAATAATAAATTCGACTAGCATCGAGACGAATTGTGAAAATAAATTTTGATTTCATTTTAATGAGACGCAACTAATTCTTTCACAAATATAAAAAAAGAGATACAAATTATTTGAAATAATATTATTCATAGAATCATACCCTTTATTCAAGGTTTCTTAGAATGAAAGAATAATTCACATGTGGTATTGATTATCGTACTTGTTTGGATTTATTATAGATGTTGTTCCTCCAGTGAAGCAGGTGTACAACCCCTTCGCTATTGAGAGACCCCATGCCACACCTTCTATGTTAGAACGACAGGGCTCTTTTAGGGGTTTTACTCAATTGAATCAAGCGTCTCCGTTTAAAAGACAATTGAGTTTACGTGTAAACGATCTTCCTAGTAATCTCGAACGTACACGTAGTCATAGTCTCGAACCTACGGATTTATCGCGAATGCCATCAGCCATATCGCACATCGTACCTTTAAAACCACCAGGTAAGAAGATTAAACCCTTTTTAATCTATTTTATTTCTCGTTTATTTTTACGTGAGTATCGGTGTATTTGATTCTTTTTTTTTTTTTTTCTTATTTTTAGCTATTATTATATTACATTTGAACGATCGCATAAAAACGTATGAAGTTTAAATAAATATGCAAAGTGTATCCGAATAAGTGTGTTTGTTCGATGATTCTCGCGATAAGTAAAAATAATAATTTTAACAATTAAACAAGTAACAGTTTTTTTCTTTTTTTTTTTTTTTTAGATACAATCGAGTATTTTACAAATTCCATGGGGGAATTATATTACGTGTAATATTGTCTCATTGTCAGATTAGTTTTCACTAAACAAAATTCTTTCGTTCTTTTGCAAACATTGAATAGGTAAATGTTTCTATTATTACTAAGACCGCGCGGATTTATTTCCATTTACGTAGTTTTAGTTTCCTTTAATCAGCCGAACAGTTAGGATGACGAAATAACAAGTAATTTAAATATTATCGACAAAACTATATTATATTCGAAATGATTTTTTTCGGCAAGTAATTTAAAAGAAAATGATTTATTTAATTAATTAATTTAATTATGTGTCAATTAATGAATATGGTTTCTTCTTATATATATATAATTATTAATAATTTTTCTAACACATTAATTTCTCAAACGTGTTACTTATTTACTTGAATTTATTTTTAACACGTAGAATCTCACTTGCCCCAAATCTTTTCGGATACACTCGTGCATAATAAAATAATGAAATTGAATAAAACTCGGCTGATTTTTGATTTGAATAATATATTCAATAATTAAAATGTACTTCTCTTCATTTTTTTACAAACAGAGTACGAAGGATATGACGAAGGTCATTATTCAATTGTCTTCGTTCATATTTGCCTGCTCCCTTCGTTGTTTCTCTTTTTAATTCGTGCTCGTTTGTGTTTACACTTAAGCTACGTTACAAACTCGAGTGTTTTCATATTTCATCGAGAAAACAATAAATAAATAAATAAATAAATAAAAAACAAGAAGAAAAGATAGAAAAACAGACGCATAATTACAGAAAAAAGAATTTCGATGTAGCCTAATTCCCCTAACCCTCCTACCCCCCCCCCTCTCGTCGTCTTCGTATTTGGTGTTTTAATAAAACGATACACTGTTTTTTATTCTTGCACAGTGAGTATCCACGTTTTGTTTTTAGTTCTTTAGGTAAACATTGAGACACGGATGAAGATTTTATGGGAGTCCAATTAACGTTGGTTCGATTACGTTGTTGTTCTTTTTTCTTTTTTTTTTTTATCTTTTCCATTAAGAAAAATATAAAATAATATGTTATTGATGTCGTGGAAAAATAATATAATTCGAGCCAACGTTAAAATTGATTCACAAATTTTGAAAACAAAAAAACAGTATACGTTTTAGTTAGAAATTTCCCAGTAGTAAAATATCCATCATATTTTTTATTTATTTATTTATTTATTTATTATTTTTCTCCCCTAAAAATGATTAAACACCAGCTTGGACAGTTAAAAATTATTTTAGGTCGATCGAGATCGATCGTTTGATCAATCGTTTTTCTTATATTTTCATTTTCACGCTTTGTTATACGTTTCCCAAACGTGATTCGGCATGCATTTAAATAGTATTCCAGCACCAATTCGCTGTAATTGTTCGTTACTGAAACGTAATATCGTATAAATGATGTAAAATTAATTGATCGTTATTAATTAAAATGATATTTTATTTGAACAGTGAGCCCGATACCAGAAATATCACCTGGTGGACAGGACAGTGTTTCTGCCATGTGTCAACAATTGTCTCGCGGACTTTCTTTGCTTTCGAGCAGCGATGATTTCGGACCATTGCCTTCACAAGCGACAACTAGTTCGGTTGCGAAGCAACTTTTTATGAACACCAATAATACTCCACCTGGTAAAAAAATTTCATACAAATGTATACCTACTTATACACATACACACATGTTCCTTATATTTAAAACAATATTTAATCTTTGGATTTTTTAATTTTATTCCCGATCACCATTAATAATTTTTTTCTTTTTGAAATACGTTTAGTAACGAGTAGCAATTCGTTGGACGATATTAAATTACAAAATGGGCCGAATTTGATAACCAACAACAACAATAACAACAATAACAACAACGACAACAAAAACGAAGACATTACGAATTTAAACGAGGTCAGACAAAATTGGCAAGAATCCTCGTCATCACCGATTCTAACAGTCAATCCTAGGTTAACGCCAGTCTTAAACAAGGCTAGTAATTTAAGTCCTGTTCTTCCGAGGACTAGCACAGTCACACCTGTTGTTATGAGTACACCAGCGTCTAGTATAGGTGGTGTGTTTGGTGGTACACCAACAGCAGCCAGTCCTGCATTCAGTACGGCCTCTACCTCATCTCTTGGAAGTACATCAACAGCTGTTGCTATCAACAAGTCGTCAATTTCAATTAATAATTCAGTAATAGCCAATAAAATTGCAACGCCTAGGAGTACGTCACCCAACGTTAGCGTAGCGTCGTTATCTTCCACGTTATCGACAGCCGTAATCACTGACGTTTCTGGGATTTGCCCGATTACTATACCTACCACTCCGGTAAGTTAATTTGTACAAATATTTTTAACTCTTTGTGTTTGACTGGTGTAAATTTGATGAACCGTAATGCATGACTAGTGGAAACATTTTTAGTTCCATCTAGAAATATTGCAATAACTGTACGCGTATCATCACGATGGGATTATTTGAATCTTACATTTAATATGAAACAAATAAATTGAATGAAATTATTATTAGTTTTTGTATAATATGTTTTAACATTATATGTAATGATATACCTTCTATTAATAAAAAAAATATATCAATTTTTGTTAGATTTAAAACGCAATTAAACAAAAATTGTCCGTGCAATCATACAGGGCTATTTTATTATCCGAAAAATGCACATCCTGTGTAGCAAAGAATCTTTTATTAATACTTCACTCGAGCAAAAAAAAAAGAAAAAAGACATTTAAAATGATTATTAAATCCAATGAATTTTGTAGGTTCAGCCGGTGGCAGCGGCAGGKACTTTACCAAAACCAGAACAATGGTTGGGTAGTATAACAGGAGCTGTACCAGTATCAACAACAGCACCCCAAGCAATAGCATCATCGTCAATACCACCCCAATCATCGAGTAGTCCACGAAGAGCACCACCATTACACGCAAGGGCATTGTCACTCGGTTCGGCAGCAATGAGTGCTGGTGTTGGTGGTGGTGGTGGTGGTCAAGTTAGTCAAGGAAGAGGAGGTGGTGGCGGCCCTTCCGATCCCTTCGATGCCGAATGGGCTGAAATTGCGGCGAGAAATTTACGACAGTCTACTACTACCAATCCATTCGTCGTTCCTAACGCAACACAGGCATTCCAGGTGCAATTGTAGCGCCAGGAGTTCGTTAACAGCATTGCTAAATATTTTCGATCGAACACATAATGACGGTTGCACGTACGCTCGCGCCTCGATCTTACCAACGATCGTAGGTATTATACCTAAACATCCACCCCCATAACCCACCCCCTAGAAGGTTGGAACAATTATTTTCCAAACGAATTATTATGCAGGAATAAAAAAGAAACTAAACAAACGTAATAAGAAAAAGGGATATCGAAAAGCGGGGGTTGCTTATAATAATAATAATAATAGGCAACAAATAAAATTATTGTTCAAATTAATCGGGGGTGGGTGTGGGAATGGGAATGGGAAGGGGGTAGGGAAATATATATATTTGAGATCTTGGACACAACGTAACAACCATCGCCATTATCATTAACTGATTATGTTGTTACGTTGAAGTATTAATATGAGGACGAGCGTGTGTGGATTGGAAAACGAATTTATGCACAAGAATAATGATGAAAACTTTTTGCGAAATAAGAATTAAATAAACTGTGTGTAAGGGACGAAATGATGGCTACTAAAAGGCGTCGGGGGAGTGGGGTGGAAGGGGTTGTGAAGGGGTTGGGAGAAAAAATAAAATGAAGAAAAAACAATATCCTAGAGATACTTAAAGCTTAATTATTGTAGTTAGAAAACAAAATACGCGCACAGCCTCGATAGAAGCACGCATTAATGTTAGGAGGACGTTGATGATAATTGATATACGATTTATGATGATTATTATGATGATGATGATGATGATGATGGATGATTTATAATGCACGCTCGATATATAAACAAAGAAAAAATATATATGGGAAAAGGGATTAGGAATGTTTAAATGAGAAGACGAGGCGTAAATATGCGCATTTTAAAGGATTATAAATATATATACATACTTATATATATATATAT